TCAGAGGATGGTCCTCCCTTTCAACAACATCTCATCCTCCCTTTGACTGGGTCATTCCTGTACATAGAAGACTTTGCTCTATAAGCTATCAAAAGGAATACAACAAAAGCTGACTAGCCCTACTTAGCAGCTACTCCTTCTCTCCCTTGCTTTTCACAGAACAGCTTCTCTCCAAGGTCTGTGTGTGGTTAGCACCTCCACCCGCTCACACCCCAGCACACCGCACCTGATTCTCTGCGGTCTGGACACACATGGTGTTCCGTTCCAGGTGTCTGCTTGGCTAGCCAGGGTCCCAGGATCCAACCAAACACTAACCTAGGAGTCGCTGGGAGGTGGTGACCATCTGCAGTCACTGGGCTTTGGGGAAAGGAGAGTATTCTTGATGTCTGGGTGGGCCAGATTCAGTCGGTCGAAAGATTTTAAGATCAGAACTGAGGTTTCCCTGAAGAAGAAGACATTCTACCTGTACAGTGTAGCTTCAGGTCCTGCCCGAGTTTCGTCCTCCCCTTCCTGACAGCCCGCCCTGCAGATGAATTTCGGACTTGCCTGGGCGGCCCCCACACTCATGTAAGCAGTTCCGTGTAGTCTATCTGTATCTGTATCTGTATCTGTATCTGTATCTGTATCTGTATCTGTATCTGTATCTGTTTGTCTCTGTATCTGTATCTATTTGTATCTGTATCTATCTATCTATCTATCTATCTATCTATCTATCTATCTATCTGCATACCTATCTCTCTATCTCTCTATCATCTAATGCAAAACATCCCACAGAAACTACTTCAGCAAAGACCACCAGTGAAGAACTCCACATCACCAAATCCAGTGGTCACTTCCCTTTTCTCACCTCACTCAACCTCTCAGTAGTATTTGGTTCAGTTACCTATTTCTACCTTTTAAAAACCTGGTTTTCCCTTCTGGCTCACCAGCTACCTGTGCTCAATCTCAGGGCTCTGTCTCAGAACTTCTTTCCATCTACACCCCAAGCCCATCTGAATTTACAGAGTCCCATGAATTTAAACACTGTGGATACACTGATCGTCTTCACATCTGTATCTCCTGGCCTGACCTCTAGAATTATATAGGCAATATGCTAGGTATGTCCTCGTGAAAGTCTAAATTGAATAGAGCAGAAATACAACTCCTGATTACCATTCCCTCAAACACCTGTTCACATCTCCCCAAACTCAGTAAATGGCACCACTGTTTGTTCACCTGCTAGAGCAAAAGCCCAGAAAGCAGTCTTGAGTCCTCCTTTCCCATAACTGGCACTCCTGTGCAACTTATTTAAGTTCACAGTAGCTGCATCAGCTCTCTCCTCCAAAACGTGCCCTGAATCCACATGTTTCTGCCTTGCGGAGCTGCAGCCTCTGTCTCTTCTCCCCCAGTGTATTTAAATCACCTTCCAGCTGGAGTTCCTGCTCTATGCCCCAGTCTCCCCAAACCTATTTGGGAGGCAGTAGCCAAAGTGATTCTTATAAATATTATAGAGAATTGCATACTTCACTTAAAATAAAATTGAGACTCCTTTCCAGCAAGTAGAATTTCTTATTGGAGGTTCCTTGCCAACCTCTTCAAATTCCTTTTAGTTCTTCCAGCCCTTAGAGGCCATCTTGCTGTTCCTGGAACATGCCAGGCTTTTTCTACCACAGGGCCTTTGCACTTTCTGTTCCCTAGGCACAGAACAGCTTTTCCAAGAATTTACAGAGTTACTTCCTTTAGCCAGTGCAATTCCAATTCTGATGCCACCTCTTCAGAGAAGTCCACTTTTCTTAAAATGTTATTTATTTATTTTGAGAGAGAGAGAAGGAGAGAACACATGTGCATGAGTGGGAGAGGGGCAGAGAGAGAGAGAGAGAGAGAGAGAGAGAGAATCCAAAGTAAGCTCCACTCTGTCGGCATAAAGCCCTATGTGGGGCTCAGTCTCAGGAACCATGAGATCATAGCCTGAGCAGAAATCAAGAGTCAGACACTTAACTGACTGAGCCACCCAAGTGCCCCCAGAGAAGTCCACTTTAATTGCCC